GTCGGATGTAGTTTATCGTCTTACCGAGGACGCGGATGCAGTTTATCGTCATACCCAGGACGCTGTTGAATGAGGTATAAAAACAAACAGAAAGTCGGGTTGAAAAAGATCTGCTTGAATGAAAAAAAATGTTCTATGTGCGTTTTTGTATTTGATGTGTGAGTGTGCTTGGCTTGTGTATGTGTGTGTGTGTGTGTGTGTGTGTGTGTGTGTGTGTTGTCGCGATTCAGTTACCCAAGGAATAATCAATAGGCAATAGTAATTCAAAAATACCATTTCTGTTTTAACATCAAAGCTTTGAATCTTACTTTTCATTTTACTGTTGATTACCATTTTAAACGAGGAAAAAAAACATAATTTGGGCTGAAAAAATTTACAGGAATGAAAAAAAATCGCGCGAATGTGCGCGCGTGCGTGTGTGATGTCACCGTATGACGCCGATTACACAAAACGATAAACGAGGAAAGTGACAGAAAAAAAAGCACACCCACACTATATATACTGGGTGCGATGTGTAAATCATCGCCATTTTATATTTTTAATTTCGCTCATGCGCCTTGATTGTTTTTTTTATTATTATTTTGTCGATTGAACAGTATATTAGAGTCAGTAGGTCACCATCTTTGAGAAAAAGAGCACCATAACGCAATTCAGTCCGCCAGAAATTTAGGAACGGCATGCTGTACTTCTTGGCATTCGCATCGAAAACACCAAACGACCATTTCAGAGTGCTTGTATGTCAATCTGAGGACAGTGCAGAGGATTCTGAAAGAGTTGGATGAGTCTAATGGTGATTACGAAGGTACAGTCCCTCAGAAAACTCAGTCTGATCTAAGAAAAGAACTCCTTAATTTGTTGGTGAGAGCTTCAGACTTAATACAGACGCCTACATAAGTGCTTTGGGGAGGTAGTGATTCCCTGGACAAGAGGATGGCTGCTGGAAGACGATATGTCTGTCAAAAGGATACTGCACCATGCCACACAAGCAGTCTGACAATTTCTGCGACCACATCTCTCCTTACATCTGGGCATCTAACTCCCAAGACTGCAACTATAATCCCATAAGTATCATGGTGGGATTCACCAACATAAACAAGGAGATCGTCCAAAAGAGTTTCACGAGATTTCGAAGTCGTCTGGGGGTCGTGGTTGAAACCGATAGCAATTTTACTGAATAAATTTACTCTTTAGTATTTCAAGATATGTTTGTGTAATTTTATCAACTATGTCTGTTAAAAATTAATGTCAGTCTATTTTTCATTTTTAGTTAATTTAGACGACAATTCCTCCATCGTACTATATATATATATATATATATATATATATATATATGTGTGTGTGTGTGTGTGTGTGTGTGTGTGTGTGAACATTGAAGTCAACACTTAGAGGCGACAGGCTGTTTCATGCTAGGCGCAATTGTCAGGCCTGACGATTGCGTCTAGCATGAAACAGCCTGTAACCCGTAAGTGTTGACTTCAAAGTTCACTTTTTATATTTACACCCTTTATCTCTGATATTGACCCCTTTATCCCATAAATATAGCACACCTTAAGACTATATTTCCTTATATATATATATATATATATATATATATATATATATATATATATATATATATATAAAGTGTTCAATATCAGGGATATGTAGATATAAAAAAAAATCAACACGCAGCGGCGACGGTTTCATACTTATGCACATTCGTCAGGCCATGATGATTACGTTTAAAACATATCACACTATCGCCACTAGGTGTTGACTTCAATGTCCATGTGCAAACAATGAAGCACAGACATTTTCTGTTACTTTTTGTGGGCTGCACTCTTTGTGAGCCTCTGTGCAAATAGCGTGCAAGCTGAGAGGTGAGTATCTATCTACCTCGTCCTGTTGGATGAATTGAGAATGGGAACGCTACCCCCGCGTGACTGTAGTCCCTGAAATTATGCAGTTGTCCCAGCACTACTTTCCTTTTCAGTATGCTTCAGGCATCAAGATTTAACCCCCACTATTTGGTGCAATAGGGATTCTATTTCTTGGGAGGCATAACTTTTTTCGTGATTCCGATCCAGCGGCTAACTTGTGTAGTAACACTCTAAGGTTGCAAGCACTTTTGCGAAGTTGTTTTGCTGTTTAGAGGATTATCATATGTGAACTTAGATTTTTTTTTTTTACCTTCGTGGCAGCACATTGTCTCTTTCGTGTGCGAGCGCACATTGTTGCGTGCGGGGGCATGTGATGTAATTTCCCCGGATTGCTTTTATTTTTAAATACTTTCTTATTCTGGCAGATTTTAAATGATTCCGAGGCAAATGACTGGTGTTATATCTGCTTTTATTTCAGACTCTATTTTATTCAGGCTTTCTCTCTGAAATTAATTTTTGTCTCTCTGTATGCTTTTATTCTTGGGGGGCTTAAATCAAATCTCTTTCTTCTTAACACTACAGCACTTCAAGACATGTCAGAAGATAAAAGGATCTGCTGAGGAATAAAATTTAGTCGCTGATTTCTCTGCACTAAAAATGCACCACGAAACGTACAATGTAATAACGTACATGCGCATGCGTACAAATCGCTGTGAAGTTGTATAAACCGTATCCTCCGCTTTCGACAAATCTCCATATATATATATATATATATATATATATATATATATATATATATATATATATTATATAAAACATGTTGCTTAACTGAGTGGTGTTATTTCAGTCATTTCGATTTCGAAGTTTCGTTAGCGCATTGTTGTAATGCCTTCACTCTTCAGAACTATTGACTTCTCTGCTGCTACTTCTCAACCTGTTCGTATTTATGTATAGTTTGGTCTAATTTTATATCTTTGTGTGAGTGTGTGATTTTTCATTTATGTATGTTGCATTATTTGTTTTTATCGCTAGTATTTTATATTTTTTAAGTCGCAAAGTATTTCTTGGTGATTGCTTTGTATTTGACTGTGTTTATGTATAGGCTCGCTTGATGTATGTAGGATTGGCCTCTTTGTCCCGTGCTGATCTTTTGTTTACCGTGCCAGTGTATATGGCCGCTTGATTTCTTTTTACTTATTTTTAGGTAATGTGTGTGTATTTATGCATAGGAATTTGTGCTTGTATGGGTGTGTGTGTGTGTGTGTGTGTGTGTGTGTGTGTGTGTGTGTGTGTGTGTGTGTGTGTGTGTGTGTGTGTGTGTGTGTAGTGTTTTTTGTTAATATTTGCTGATATCTTTGTCCATTTACATGCCTTTGCGAGCTTGGTGTGTGTGTTTTTTGGTGAGTCTTGTGTTATCTAGTTGTTCCATTTTTTGACGAAAAATTACATAGGAGCCACGGAAACAATCTTCAAAGAAATATTTAACAATCACAAAACAGCATTTAAAACAGAAAGGTACAAAACCAACACAACACTATCAAAATACATATTGAGCCAAAAAGAAAAAAAAATGTATCACCACCAAAATTAAATGGGAATTCAAAAAGAGCACCCCATACAATAGCAGAAACTGTAAACTATGCCTGGAGGAAAAGTTAACAATAATTACTTTAAATACCAATGCAAACTACTAAACCAGAAAAAAAAAGAAATAATGAGGAAATATAAAAATGCAAATAAATAATTACTTTGTTTCTTAAATATCAATAAAAACAGAAACAAATAAACACGACATAAAACAAAACTCACCTACAAGCTAAAACTTACTACATATATACACAAATACACCTGTATAAATACCTAATCACGAACAAACAAAAAACAGATGACAAAAAAATGGAACAACTATACAACACAACACTCACCAAAAAAACACACACACTAAGCTCACAAAGGAATATGCATGCCCCAAAATATCAGCAAATATCAACAACAGAAAACAGTACACACGCACACGCAGGCACGCACGCGCGTGTGCGCACACACACACACACACACACACACACACAAGCTCAAACACCTATCCAGGCCATAAAAATAAGAAAATAAGATCAAACGGCCATATACACTGACACTGTAAACAAAAGGTCAATTGAACCCGGTAAAATGAAGTCAATCATACATATAGCAATTAAGCGAGCATTTACATAAACACGGCCAAAAGAGGTCAGCACAATACAAAGTAAACAATCACCAAGTAACACTAGTAATCACTTAAGAAACAGCAAAAAATCTAAGAATAAAAACAAATAATACAATACCCATTAAGTGAAAAAACACACAGATATCAAATTAGACTAAACTATTCATAAATACGAAATGAGAGTTACCGATTAATCGTTACTCTGTTTGTCGACTTTCTGCTTTCGGGCGGAAAGGAACTCAGACGAGGCTATTGTTCTCGTCTGGCGAGGCAGACAACCACCTGCCCTCATATATGCAGGGTTTACTGGGATTTTCCCCGAGCTATAGCGCTAGGAAAGCTACACGTTAAAAAGCAGCCTTGTGCTAAATTCACCCTCGTAGGGGGCGTGTTAAGGCTATTTCCTTTCCATTTTATATCGGGTACTGTGATGAAAACCTGCCAGCCTAAATGCATCTCTACTTGTAAACTACAGAAAAAGAACTAGCAGTTTTGACACTTAACACTCTCACAATCTAATACTATATATATATATGTGTGTGTGTGTGTGTGTGTTTGAGTGAGTTGCGCCTCTACATATTATATAAAATACGATAACATATCCTTTCTTTAAAGTGGGCTTTCCTTTAAAAAGGCTTCAGGCACCTCCATGTTAAGAAGTGTTGATTCATGACGTCGAATTTTGCCAAGTACATCCGACTTTTCGCGACCTTTCTCATTTAAAACGTTGATTTGATATTTGAAATTTTGAACGAAATGTTCTATTTCCGGCCAAATATTTTGAATTCCGTGTCCTGCAGTTAAATATAGCCAAAAAAGCTCTCATTTTAAAAGAAGAAATTATCTTTAAGAACAAATCTTTGGCGAGTTATTAAGCTAATGATTCCGTGTATAGGTAAGGAGGTAGTGTCGGGGAAGTGTTGGACAATGTCTTTTAATTAATAGAACTGTGCATGCCCAGTAACCATAGGCTTATAATTGTAGAGCGAGATAGATAGATAGAGAGAGAGAGAGAGGGAGAGAGAGAGAGAGAGAGAGCGATTAAAAAAGTGAGAAAGAGTGAGGGATTTAAAAAAGAGAGAAAAGCGAGTGGGTTGTTTTGAAAATATAAGTTCTCTGGACTGGTATGTGACATATGACGTGGATGTGCCGCCATACTGGGATGTATTCGTGTGCTCGTTCCAACTGAATATGGCAAAACAAAAAGTTTAAAGCTTACTGTTGGCGTGGCAATTTCTGATAAAAGTCTTGTTTATACGTATTATCACATATTCTTTTTTAAGGCAATTCACCCCAAGCAAGACGGAAGTGACACTAGCACGCAAGGGGTTACAGAGGATTGAGAAGAAGATTAAAGAGGCATGTTTGAGGAAGAAAGAACACAGAAGAGGACGGGGAACAAGCCCAGGGTGCCAGATTGACATTACACTTGGATATTTAAAGATTATAGTAATCGGGGAAACAAGTAAGAGGAATGGAGTTCCACAGATGGGAAGTGCAGGAGAAGAAGTTTTTTGAGAAGAAGAAATAGTTACATTTAACCCCTTGACAGTGAAAGTGTGGGACCGAGAAGCCAGCCTCTTGCTCGTTTAAATTCATGTAGTCCAGGAACCAGCGAATGTAGCTCATCGGAACAGTTGCCGTGAAAATATTTGAAGAAAAGACAGAGGGAGGCCACAGGACATCTGTGGGATAGCGATTGTAGACTAGATGCCAGATCAGGACCTATCATCTTGCATATTCATCCCTGAATTTTGTCAAGGACATCGAAACGTACAGCAGGAGTACCAGACCATATATGACAGCAATATTCCATGCAAGAACGGATAGTTGATTTATAGATTTGAAGAATGGACTCAGACGAGAAAAAAATACTATGCTGAATTTGTGGAGGATATTTTGCTGTATAACGAGAACGATGCTGTCTTATTCCGAATACAATTTTGAGACATTCTCTTTTAAAAATCTAACATTTACCACGATAGAATAGTTTAACCACACACACGAGGACACATATACAAACGCGCTCCCCCCTAGACCCGCATGTCTCTAGAGGAATATGTTTTTATGGCCAATCATTTACACGTAATTTAAAATCAGATAATATTTTTAGACTGTAAGAATCTTGGGGAGATAATAATCATTTACTGATACAAGTTCAGCTATTTAATCCATACTTAGGGAAGAATAGGTGGATTGATACCTTTCACAGTGGTACTTGTGCGTAACAGAAACAAACTCGAATTGGAATTAGGATCTTCTATTTTCAATATAGAGAATGAATACATGACAACATCACAAATTCAAGTTTGCAGCACCAGGTCTGGTATTTCCAGCGGTCACTCATCTAACTATTGAGCAGGCTCAACATTGCTTATCGTCTTAACTTCAGTGATCGTACGAGAACCGGTGTTCTCAACATGATATGGCCGTAAGCATAACAAGTTAGAAAGGATGCCCTAATCAATACTTGAAAGAACAATAACAGTTAGTGGGCTTGAGAAACGTATTTTAAGAGAAAGATCTCGTACATTTCAATCGAAAGCAGCACTGTCTGCTCGATCAGTGAATGCAGAATATTTCCTTATAGGGAAACGGCTAATATAACCACTACATTGTTTTGCGAAAAGACGTACAAAAGCTTACGAGTGCTTACTTTAGCAAATCTAGGTAAAGGAGCAAGGATCAGAAATATATTTAAAAGGGCGTCTCCGTTAGTTCAACAATTTTCAGCTCGCCTCGTAGATTCTATCACTAGTGTTCTTAAATATTGACTTTGATCGTATTTATGTAAAACTATTAAATCTTTCGTTGGTTTTATATCATCAATGCTTAGTTTGAAAGTGATCTCTTAAATTGTAAAATGATATATTTCAAAGTTAAATTATATAGTTACAATAACAAAAACATTCCTTTCTTCGGTCATTTAAAACTTACTGACAAACATTTTACGAAAAATCTCTTGACTATGTATGTTATCCAACAGTAAATTTGGACTACAAATACAGCAGCATATCTCCACTCACTAGCTATAGAGTTCGAGCCTTGGGTAACAGCTTGCCGTATTTTCCGGCTTACAAGACGCTGCGGCTTGGAAGACGCACCCTTCTATTGGAAAGAAATTTCTAAGAAAAAAAAGTCATTCTCATACAACACACTCACATACTGGCACCACATATTGTTAACATTAATCACTCGTCCAATTTTGTTTGTATGAAAATAGCATACTAGTCAAGAGAAGAAAGGCTCCCGGCGCTGCTAGTAAACAGAGCCTGTTTAAGATTGTGGCTCGGCTCCTGGAAGGTTTATAGTTTTGGAAATACTTGTAACAGCTAAGTACTAAGCTTACATCATATAAAATGTCGAATTAGATAGATAGCTAATATTATAGTATAATGACTCAACATACAAATCCACGTCTCTATCAGTCAAGCAAATTAGGTGACCGTCCAAGCTTACATTCGTTTTGGAAGATGCACACATATTTTTCAGTGTATTTTTATTGTAAGCCAGAAAGTACTATCATCTAAATGAATTAGAGGCATATTAATGTTTGGATATCTTTTAGAAAAAGTTCACATCATATATGACTGTATATACTGTATATCGTAGATAAATTGTGTAAAAGTGGATAAAACATCGTAGAATGTTTAGTATAATTAAGAATAATTTATATAATAGTCACTGGTTTTATATATGCAGTATAACTAAATGACAGACACGCAACAGCAATTTCAATTATTATAAAAATGAAACCCTCTATCAAGTAGCCTGAAACCTTGTGCATGAAATTGGATGAATGGGAACCTTTTGATAGATCTGGCAGCACAAAATCAAAAGTCATCGTGACAGGCCTCGTTCAAAAGTTTCATGCAGCCAGATTACGTGCTTTCTCCAGAAAAAAAAATAACTAGTTGGAGCATAAATTACAAGTTTGGTTTCGATTCAACTTGGGTTGACGAAACCAGTTTTAGGTTAATATTTTCTGTGATTTTCCATTAAAGATTAAAAATATTATCGATAAATCCGAAATATCTCTGTTTAGTACTCGACCCTCGTTATTGTTCGTGACTTTGAACCAATTTACAGTTCATTTAATGTTTTTACCGACTTGAATTTGTGGATTTTTTAACGTGATAACGCAGATCGAATATCAACAAGATTACAAACGTCCTATCAGGATATTGGCCTCATAAACTACAGGTTGATGCTGTGGGCGTTGAAGAAAAATAAATGTGCCTGTACGGGCGTTTGCAACAGGGATTAAACAACCAGTCGATGAGACGGTCAAATACAGGAATTTTTTATTTTTACTTTTTACTCTGACAACCCAAATCGGCGAGCGACAAGTTTTCAAACATCCTATCAGTTCAACATAATTACAGTATAAACCACAGGCTTGCCCTGTGGGCGTTGAAGAAAAACAAATGTACCTGTGCAGGCGTCTGTAACAGGGATTAAATAGCGACTGTAGAATTTAGGCATATACGGAAACTAGCAAAGTATACTAATAATAGACTGTCTAGTTCAAATACAATTGTTAATGCCCGTAAATTAGTTTCAATTCAAACTACAGTGGCGAAACCAGTTTTAGATATTTATATTCTATGAGTTTCTATCAAAAATATTATCGATAAATGCGAAAAGTCTTACTGTCTATTGCCCAACTGTTGTTATTGTCCAGGACTGCGAATCAATTTATAGTTCATTTATTGTCATCGCTGATTTTAATTGGAGGATCACATATAGGAGGTAAATGAGTTTTAAAACTTCGTATCAGGTGACGGTAATCATTGTCGAACATAAAATCTACAAATGACCGCGCCTATAGAATTTGGTTATAAACAAAGAAATGGCTCTTGTAATAAATTATCGCAGTTTTACACGTGTGTGTTTTTGTGTTTGTGTTTGTGTGTGTGCGCGTGTGTCTATCATGGACGTGCCGTTTACGTAGGAAAGGTAGGCAGTAACTAGAATGAAGAAAACAAATCAGCAGCTACATTGTCCTTCTGTGACACAATATGTTTCTATTTTAACAAAATTATGAAGGTCACTTTGATTATTCGGCATAAAATGCAAAATATTTAATTTTTTGCAGATTTACTACATAAAGGTCACAATCTACCTACCCTGAATATTTACTAATGGCACGTGTACATATATATATATATATATATATATATATATATATATATATATATATATATATATATATATATATATATTCGACTCTTCCGTAGTATTCGAGGTATGAGGGCCAAGTAGCTCAGTTCCTAGGAATTGACAGCCAGAAAACCAGCACATGTGATTTGATTATAGTGGTGAAGGTTATGTGCAGAACCAATCACAGTTTCTGAATGGCTGAATAGAGAGATCTGGTGAACGACGTACCTCAAGATTCCTCAAACGATTCTCCGCAGGTTTTGAATTCAGGGCGGCCAAGTATACTAATAATAAACTGTCTAGAACAAAAAAAAAATTCTTAATGTCCGTAAATTAGTTTCAATTCAAACTAGGGTAACGAAACCAGTTTAAGATATTTATATTCTATGAGTTTCTATTAAAAAATATTATCGATAAATGCAAAAAGTCTTACTGTCTATTGCCTAACTGATGTTATTGTCTAGGACTGCGAATCAATTTATACTTCGTTTATTGTCATCGCTGATTTTAATTGGAGGATCACAGATCGGAGATACACGAGTTTTAAAATTTCGTATCAGGTGACGGTAATCATTGTCGAACATTGAATTTGGTTGAAATAAACAAAGAAATGGCTCTTGTAATAAATTATAGCAATTTCACGCTGTCACTAAATTAAGAGACGTACAAATTAATGTCGTTTACATTTTGTGAACAAGCAACAGACAAAAACATTGATAATCTCCCGCGTTGTATCTGAACAGCAAGTAAAAGTAGAATGAGAACAAATGAAGTAAATTTAAAAACAAAAAAAAAAAAAAAAAAAAAAAGAAAAACAAGCAAAAAGTAACAGGTAGCTATTACTAACAAGACTATCTTCTATGTTGACGCTTGCCAGATTAAATTAAAAATGAAGAAGACATTGGTCAATTTATCAACGGAACTGATATGCTTTTCATAAACGTGCCATTTGGTTTGAATACATTTGAATAACCAATGTTATTTCGAACCTTTCAGTTCCATATGTATAATTCACAGAATTTTCAATCTTTTTTTCTCATAGAGCTGCGGTTTTTACTGTGCGTCATAAGTGTCAAGCAAAAATCACCAAAAGCTTGAATTATCTCTACAATTTCTCTAATCTACAAATTTCGGGTGACTCTCCTATGGTAATAACATCTAAACGTAATTTTTTCAAATGAGACAAAAAACGGAGGTGAGATTGAATAAGACATTCCGTGAGTGAATGAAAGAAATTGACATTTATCTCTGATGAAATTTTGAAGTGCGAAACTTTACAAGTAAACTGTTTAAGGCACATAAGGAATAAAGACTTGGGAATTTAACACAGAACACGTCAAGGAAAAGGGTAATAACGGAAATCATCGAGAAATTTATTTGGATTAATTTTGATTATATATATATATATATATATATATATATATATATATATAATATATGTGTGTGTGTGTGTGTACTGATTCTCCGCTAGAATTCGACGCATGAGTGTCAAGCAGATCAGTTCCTAGGAAACTGACAGCCCGATACCAGCACATGAGATTTGATTATAGTGGCAGAACAAGCCACTCTTTTTGAAGGGCCGACTAGAGACTTGATGCACTACGAACCACAGGGTTCCTAAACGACCCACCCCCGCAGATATTGAATTCAGAGTTGTCCTTCTTCTAGACCAGTTGCCATCCAAGGCTATAGAACGCAGTCTGTCCTGCTATTTACGCATAGCTGGAGGGAGAAGAAGAGGATTCACATCTTTCCCAAGGGTATTAGCACGTAAGTAAATGTAATGGATTCGACTGGAATTCGAAGTCGGCTCTCCGATTACTCAATTATTCCACCGCGCATCCTATAATTCGTATATATATATATATATATATATATATATATATATATATATATATATATATATATATATAAATTGGGACTAGAAACTGAAGAGAAAAAATCTATCACAATAATAAAGATTTGTGTCAGACATGTCAAAAACAAAATTTCCACATTTGATCACACACGCACACACACACACACATACATATATATATATATATATATATATATATATATATATATATATATATATATATAAAACTGTTTAAGGCACACATACACACACACACATACACATATATATATGTGTGTGTGTGTCAGGGACGTGCCATTTACGTAGGAAAGTTAGGCAGTAACTAGAATGAAGAAAACAGATAAGCAGCTACATTATCCTTCTGTGACACAATATGTTTATATTCTAACAAAATTATGAAGGTCACTTTGATTATTCGGCATAAAATGCAAAGTATTTAATTTTTTGCAGATTTACTACATAAAGGTCACATCCTGAATGTTTAGTAATAGCCCATGTATATATATATTCGACTGTCCCGTCGTATTCGAGGTATGAATGCCAAGCAACTCAGTTCCTAGGAACTGACAGCCAGACACCATCACATGTGATTTGATTATAGTGGTAAAGGTTATGTACAGAACCAACCCTACTTTTTGAAGGGCCGAATATAGAGACCTGGTGCACGACGCGCCACAACGTTCCCCAAACGACTGTCCGTAGGGTTTGAATTAAGAGTTGTCCTTTTTCTAGACCAGTTGCCATCCAAGACTTTAGAATCCAGTGTGTCTGTCCTGCTATTTACCCATAGCTGGAGGGAGAATAAGAGCATTCATACCTTTCCCAAGAGTATGAATTTATATATATATATATATATATATATATATATATATATATATATATATATATATATATAAACATCTACGTTTTAGCCCAGTAATAATTAGAATTGCGAATATTGAATTATCCGACAGACAGATGTTACTCTTTTGCATACATTTTCAATAAATTTTCATTTTTGCCGGATAAAGCTTTGTTAAGAGCTTTAAAGTTATGACACGACATGCGGTATCGACAGATTCGAATCAGCAACATTTACTCCGTGTTCAAAATGTAAAAAAGAAAATTTCGCTCATACGGTGGGATTTCTTCCAAGCACTGACACACTGTTGAACAGAATCCCTTGTGGGTACTTCCCTGATCACTACGATGTTACCCTTTTTAAATTAAGGATACGTCTTCATTTATCCTTTTAACCTCATAATCCTCACTTCCTACCAAATTCTCTTCGAAATAATATCACATGCCTCATTCATCATTACCATTTCAACAGTAAAGCTGCACTGTGAATGTCTCTCGATCCTTGTATTGGCTAAATTCTAGTATATAAAAAGAGAATCTTAGTAAATACCGTCTGAAGGAATTAAAAGAATGGACAAAAGACGCAGACATATGCAGAGGAAGTAAAAAGGTTATAACAGATATTCGCCATTTTGTTTTTGTTTTACCTCGTCCTATTTCATTGCCTTCATTTTATCCTGGCATCTCGACATTTCTTTGAAATCTAATAACCAAGTAACATTCATATTTTCTTCCTGCTATTTGCCAGACAATGCCACCGATAAGAGTCGAATTTCTATTTTTAATAGCTTGTTATAATTTCTTACTTCCCAGTTAATTAATTTATTTCACTCTTGATATTAATTTCCTGTTTGGTAAAAAATGATTTTAGTTTCTTCGATAGTAATATAATAGAAGACAATTGCTTAGTAAGTCAATATAATTGATCAAACACTTGTGTGCGTCTGCATAAAGCTAATTACACAGGTGTATGTCCAGCAAAAAAAAAGAAGTAATATATTATAGAAAATATGAAAATTTAATGAAGGCGGGAAAGAAGGAAAGAACGAAAAAAGAAAGAAAAAGATTATGAACGAATAAAAAGCAATAATTAAAAATTATAGAATATATATAGACGTAATGAGAAAAAAGAAAGAAAGAAAGAAGATGTTTGAGACAGAGAGAAATAAAAATAAATACATAAGGAATGAAAGAAAAAAGAGAAGAAATGAAGAAAATATAAGAAATACATTATAGAAAAAATAAAGATTTAATGCGCAAAGGAAAGAAAAAAATGAAGGTAAAAAGAAAGAAAGAGATAAAAAACGAATGGAAAGCCTTAATAATATTTTTTATAAAATCGGAAATAATGAAGGAAAAAGAAAAAATAATAAATTATACGCAAAGCTAAAGTTTTAATAAAAGTTTTAACAGAGAAGGAAAGAAAGAAAAAATATATGAAAGAATAAAAAAGAAAGAAAGAAAAATATATGAAAGAATAAAAAGCAACAATTAACAAATTAAATAAAAAAAGAAATGAAGGTAAAAGAAAGAAAACATCATAGACAAAGAAAAAAGATTTTATTAAAAAAAAAGATAAAAGAAAGAGAAGAAATAAAAAAAAATATGAAAGAATTAAAAGTAATAATTAAAAATGAAAGAAAAATCGAGAAGTAATGAAGGGGGAAAATAGTAAGTTATATCAAAGATAAATATTTAATGAATGAGTGAGACAAACAACAGTACAAGAAGGAAAAAGCATAACGTCAATAATGAATAAAGGAAGAAAAGAGAACTGATGAAAGATAATGAAACAAAATAGACCTAATTAAAAAAGAAGAAGAAAAGAAACAAAGAAAATAGTTATAAATAAAAAAAAAAAAGGAATGAAACAATTAAAGAATGAAAATGTATTAAAAAAATGATGGGAAAAAGAAAGATATAGAAATATTGAAACATTCGAGAATAATATAGCAACAATAAATAAATGAAAAAAAAAAACTTGTCTAAACAGATAAACATGAAAGGAATAAAATAAGAATTATAAAAATTAAAAAAAAATGTCTGATAAAAGAAAAAAAAAGTTTTAATGAACGAACTAAATAAACAAAGATACCTAACTGTGTGACCACTCGTGAATCATTGGATGTGCGGGTGGTGTAATGAGAAATCGGAGAGCCGAGTTGCAATTCCAGCCGGGTTCGTCATATTCACTTACGTGCGATTCCCTTGGGAAATTTATGAATTCATCTCTTCTCCCCAGATATGGATTAAATTGTAAGACTTGTACCAGCAAAGAAATTATGATCTCAAGAAAACTCTGACAATCTAAAATAATAAATAATCTTACAAAATGTCGATAAGCCTCAACAAAATAAATCAGTCGATCAATAAAGGACAAAGAAATAGACAGATACATTAATATCAAATAAAAGGCTAATGAATGAAAAATAAAGAGAAGAAAATTTTAATATAGTTAAAAGCAAAAATGAAAAGACATTAATATAAAATAATAAAGAGAATTAATAAATTTAAAGCAAAGTGTATACAGGAAGGAAAATTGAAGAAGTAAAAGAAAAAGTACGAATTGAAGGAAAGAGAAAGACAGTAGATACAGATGAATTAAAATAAAATTTAAAAAAAAAAGAATTATTATATGAAGAGGAAAGAAAGTAGAAGTAATAAAGAAAATTGATAAATGAAATGGCGAGAACGAACAAAACTGAGAAGATGAAAAAAAAAGAAGAAAAAGAAAATATAAATTCAAAAGTGAATGATTTGGAATAGAAGGAAATGAAATGTAAATAAAGAAGGAAATGAAAATAAAAGAATGACTAAAAGATAAATAGAAGAAATGAAAGAAAGATTCCTCTGAAGATTATTGAAAAAGAAAGAACTAATAAAAGAAAAAAAAGAAATAATTACTCAATGAAGTGATCACGAAGAACCGAAAGGAAATGAAAAAACGAACAAGAAATAGGTGAAAAAAAAAAAAACGAAAGAGAATATTACGTATAGAAAAGAAGTAAAGGAAATGAAAGAAGAAATGGAAGGAGAGAAAAGAAGTAAATAGAAAAAAATATATTAAATAAAAGGACAAAGGCAAAGAATATATGAAATAAAGAAAATCATAAAAAATATTAGGAAAAAAATTCTCTAATAATATTTAATTAAAGTCTAGGAAAAAAAAAATTATCAGCCAACATTAAAGATGTTCATTTCAATTTATTCTTATTTTTCAAGCAGTTGAGACTTGACAGACTATTTGTGAAGCATAGCGGAATTGTCATATGTCACTCAGAATAGTTTTTTTTTTCAACAGTACATGATTCTCTGTTAAATTTTTTAAAGTATAAATCATCAACTTTAAAAGGATGACCGACAAATAAATGATCGTCGACAGCTGACTTTGCTTGAATATATCTTCTGGTAGTCCGTTCTGTCTTTTAGTCTATTCTCGGAAGCCCGTTACCAATTTGCATGCCTCAAACATGGATATTGATCACTTTTAACATTCCACCCGTGCCAGAAATCGCTCAAAGCCTAGCGTTCGTTTTACTGCTTGTAGGAGCGACTATTAAATTGCTAGGTTCAAGAGTTACATGACAAATAAAAATCGCCCATTTGGATAATGTAACTCCAGTTGAGCGTAACTTTAACCACTGGTGTTTTGCTTTTTGTCGTATTGAATCTGGTGGAATTCTAGCAAAAACGCGTAAAATATCTGTTTCTAAATGTTTCAAGTAAAAGAAGAGGAAAGGCGCTTTGGTAAATAATGTAATTTATATGTATTTCCGAAGAATGGGCGTCATGTTGATGCGTTAGAACCAATATCACGATGACGAGGAAAACACTGGCAGCACAGTGGTAATGACAATGGTAATGTTAGACACAAGGAAACATTTGGCTTTCATTGTCCAAGCAGCCAGTGCTATTTTTGATTGAAACTTTCCAAAATTTATGAAATATTAATTACTATTAAAATTATTTCTCAGAAAAATAGCCTTCTCTAGTTTGCTAACCGTTATCGCAGCAATGATGAGGGCTTCCTTCCTAAACCTTTGCCGTCCTGGGTAGGACGATAAACTACATCCGCGTCCTGTGTAAGACGATAAACTACATCAAACAGCAAGGCCTCTGATCGGAAGATTTTCAGGAGCGTGGAACCACCTCTTGGTTACTGGTGTTCCCGGGTCCACCTTGACCCAGGGTGGTGGCACCTGTTAGGGTCGCATATCTGGGTGGGTGGGTTATCTCCGGGCTGGGGTCGGAGCACTATGAATGTGCAAAAATAGGTTTTAATACCAAAAATACTTTGTAAAAAATATTACCAGCCATACATTTTTAAAAAAAATACATTTTTAAAAAAAATACATTTTTGAAAAATACAATCGTATAGTACCTGGAATTCTCAAACTTTCACCAATCTCCGTACTTTTCAGGTTCGGCTTTACTTCGGTGATCGTACGAGGAACGTTGTTTCAACGCTATACTGCCATAAGTAAAGAATTTTGTCAATTTAGACAAAAGTAAGCAAAAGAAAATTAAAGCTTGAAAAACGAAAGGAAAGTGATATTTTAACTGTTTATTTGTAGCAGTCGAGTAAATTAAGTCTAATTTTGACGCGATGAAACTACTTTTTGTTTTAGGTCTTATCAACCTTTGCAGTTTAGATAAAAACAAAATATTTTGAGATTATAAAAGGTTTTTCTTAGATAATAAGGATTTACAGATACACGTCCTAGTAATTAACCCTTAGCTGGGGGAGAAGATGTGGATCCATAATTTTCCCAAGGGTTGTTTAGGCGAAAGTGAATATAACGAACCCGAATGGAATTTGAAAACAGCTTTCCGATTTCCGATTTCGAGCCGTTATCTATTACATCATCCGCACATCCACACTTACAGCACCTAGCATTTCGAAGCAGTCACTGATCTAGGTACTGAACAGGCTCGACGTTGCTTAACTTCGTTGATCGTACCGGAAACAGCGTTTGAACGTGATAGAGGCGTAAACCCACAAAAGTACTTCGTGTGCGTTGTGTACCGTAAGCAGGTGATTACTCACCCACCTGTCTACTGATTACAATTCATGCAGACATTGATTGGATCCTATCACAGATTACCAAGGATACTCCTTTTACAGTAAGGTTCACCCTGTACAAGGCTCGGACCCACTTGATGTAGAGGGTTATGTTATGGCTCAGTTTATAGGAGATTAATCCTAGACTTGAACAGGTTAAGATTGTAGTGATCGGGAAAACATCCTCTTGGGAGTCTGTTCCACAAGGAAGTGGTTCCCGGGAAGAAGATATTTGAATAGAACTTACTTCTCCCCGATTGAATACGAAGGGTATGTTGCTGACCTGCTTCTATTTAAGTGGAATGGCGGGTCCTAACCGTGATGGTTAGACGTAGCGGAAACAAGGAATGTAGTTCTTCCAAGAACTTTCCATGATAGTAGCGACAGATCAGTGGGAGACTCACCCTATCCCGCCTGTAAGAGAGTGGTAGGAGTAAAGTAATAATTATTGTCTTGAATTGGCTCTTAATGTTAATTAATTTCTAGATAATTGTCTGTCAACATCAGACTCATTATTGAATATTCTATCGCCAACCGACCTTTCATATTTCCGAATTCTACGAAGACACATGTTAAGATTACATTAAAATTCAACAACTATTAATTTGCTACTGGGTGAAATCTTCATCTCAGATGTGACGCGTACCTTCAAGACATTGGTGAGCATGACTCTCTACGACCTACTATCGCAGTTCTTAACAATATTTGAAACGTTAGCCATCCTTTTATAAAAGCGCATTAGGTTCGTCGGTTGCTGTTGATATCTGCTCATATTAATTTGAACATGTACTATGAGTGTCGCTTTATCCAATCCCTCTTTTCTAATTATGCGTCTTGTAAGCTCACCTAGATTTTTTTTATTCTAAGTTACCCCTTTTTCCGTAAAAAAAAAAAACTTCCTCCATGCTCACAATGTCCGGCATCCTTCTGTACAGTCACATCTCTGTTGCCTCAAATGTCCTCTTCACTCTTAAGGAAACCGCCCAGCATTCAATGCCATGTAAGAAGCTTGGTGGCACGTAGAAATTCAGCACACTTTTAATTGTTTCTAAAGGATTTTTTTCTAATTCTTAATACCGTGCTTAGTTTTTGAAAAGCATTTCTTTTCATTCTAAAGCACCTTCGGTAATGCAGCATCCTTTACGTTTATAGCGATTACCACATGTTACAATATGCGCAGCCTAGAATGCAGTAGATATATTTCTCAATGTTTCCAGTCAGCTTTTGACCAAGCAATATTCATACCAGCGAACAATCTCTACTTGGGTTTTGAACTTTCCATATGAAATACGTCCTGGGTAAGACGATAAACTACACCCGTGTCCTGGGTAAGACGATAAACTACGTCCAACAGCAAGGCCTCTGATCAGGAGGTTTTGAGGAGCGTGGAACAACTTCTTAACTGCTGGTGTTCCCAAGTCCACCCTGTGGTAGCACCTGGTAATTTCCCAACTATGGGCAAATAGTTAACCCTGAAATTGGGGTAAAAATGGGTTTTTATACCAAGAATACTTTGTTAAAAAATGTTATCAGCAATAAAGTTTGGAAGAAAAAAATCTACTACCAGCAATACATATTTAAATAATAAAAAAATACCAACAATACGTTTTTGAAAAAAACATTACCAGCAATACATTTTTTAAGAAAAAAAAATTATTACCAGAAATAGATTTTTGACAAAACAAAATATTACCAGCAATAAAAACTTTGTCGGCATTAAATAACCCATTGAGGTTGATATGCTTTAAAACGCAACAAACCAAACCAACCCATATGAAATTAGTTATGTTCAATTTATTTGAGAAGAAACAGACTTCAAGATGACTGAATGGTCATTTCAGAGAAGTGCTGTGCCTGCTGGACATGTCAGATTGGATATTGGTCAAGTGTATAAAGTCTTTGACAAAGTCCTGGAAGGCCATGTATTACTGACGCTCGCTAACAAGAAATGAAAAGGCAGACGGACCAGACCGCACGATACCAACACAATAAATCATTGTACATTGTAGCCGCAGAAGTGCCAACATGAAACATTGGAAATCGATTAATTCCATCAGGATGACCAGTAACCGTGCCTCTTGCCAAACTTCCATTCACACAGACACCAGTCTGTATACATACATTGGAGTAGATCGAATATAGTGCTCACTGATTACGGCAGATCCAGCCTTCATCAATGGAATAATAATAATAATAATAATAATAATAATAATAATAATAATAATAATAATTGTTCTCACAAGTACAACCCATACTTAACGAAGGGCTTTATCTGTGTAAAATATGTTTATTTTTTGTTTTGTTTTTTTGTCTTTTTTTTGTCAGTGGAAAGTGTCATGATGCAATTTCTAACCTTAGGTCCCTGGGCGGGACCCGGAAAGAAATGTGTAAACGCCAGAAATCAAAGGAAATAATAATAATAATAGTAATAATAATAATAATAATAATAATAATAATAATAATAATTGTTTACTTAGTGCAGGGTTAAAAGTTTAAAAATTGAAGGTTTTATTCTTGCTACATAGGTTCAATGCTTCGTAACTAGTAATTACCAAGTACGCATACTGAAAAATTCTGTGAATCCGAAATGTAGATTATGTGATAAATATTCAATAACAATTGACTGCCTTGTATCAAGTTGCACGGTGTTAGCGTCCACGGAATATATATCACAGGATGATAGAGTTGGCCAATATCTGCACTGGGAAATACGCAACTTTTACAGGAAGGAGAGTGCATGAAATTGGTAAGAGCATCACCCATCCCCCGTTACAGACATAGGATCTGTAACAATTTTATAGAACTTTACAATGCACGAGACATCGTTACCAAAGACCACAAAACAGAATGTGATTTCTTATTAATATGACAATCTCTGCAGTTTGCAATGTATCATTGAAGATCTTCAAAAATCTATCAAAATACAAGGGTCTAGAAGTTGAAATCTCAAAAATGTGGCATACGATAATATCGATACTTTCAGTTGTAGATGGAACCCTCGGATTGATTGGAAAATGTCCGGATATATTATTGAAGGGATTCCTATTAGCTCATGCCTTCAAGAAATACAAAAAAAATGTGCTCACAGGTAGAGCTCACTCATTACGAAAAGCTTTATCCATGGAAAATGTGTGTGATCTTATTCTTTTTACAAAAAAAATTCGTGGAAAATACCATGGAGCCATTTCTGTTTGGGACCCGGAAGAAAATGTGCATACAACAGAAATCAAAGGAAATAATAATAATAATAATAATAATAATAATAATAGATTTAGATTTTGTCACAAAGATTAGGGAACTGGAGCATGGTGAAGCTTATAAGTACCTAGGAATTAGCGAAGGAGATGGCATACAACACCCCCAAATGAAGGAAAAAAATAAGTAAAGAGAACTACAGGC